TTAGTTTTAACCATTTTGGAGGTACGTGAAGTTATTAATAACAGTGGTTGTGTTGAAGCGAAGGCAATGCGGAGAGAAACAAAAAAATACTTATCTCGGATCGAACAAATTATCGTTTGGAGTCATACAAGCTGCAGGAGTATAAAAGTCCTGAAGCTATAAGCCTAAAGCATATGACCGCAAAGGAATGAAAATTCCCTAGCTATATTTGTTTGCTTCCTATGGGGCTACCATGTAGTGTATGTCAACTCCATGCCTTTATTTTATCAACGTCTTACTTTTACACTAACTTCTAAGCCGGTAAAGTCAGCTTTATCAACCTATTTCCAATAAATTTCCTTCCTCAATCAATCAAAAGCGCACTTATTGGCACCGCTGTCAACTCCTGAGTTAAAGCTTACAGAAGTAATTCGGTCAAAGGGTAAATTCCGGCTGACATTGATTGATGATGCAACACAACCGCTGCGCATCCTCGACCAGCCATTCACGGGTCCTCTTATGTATGGAGGCAACATCTAGAGGTATCTTCAGGCTTCACGAGGATCGGTCGATCGAGTGTATCGGCACGGTTGCGTTTTGGCAAAAATCAACATCAGCTGGGATTCAGGCCAGCCTTTAACTATGCCGCGCTTTCTTCCTCAGGGTTTCGCTTTTTTTCCTTGGCGACGTCACAATTTTCGGGAGTCGAAATCGTTATGGAACAATTGCGCCAGCGAGGTGTTTGGTCATGAAGCGCAGGTTTCAGCCATATTATCTAAATCACACAATAGGGCATATACGAACCACAAGTTCACTATATCTGAGTTTTTTTTTTTTGCAACTTTTTCTAAAGTTTATAACAACTTTTTAAGTCAAACAAGACTAGAATTCTCTATGAGAGAAATTGAAACGTATGATTAATGGATTAAGCTGCGACTCTTATGAACTATGGAGATACCTTAAGGTTTCACCTGGGCTCGAGAGGCGCGCCCCTTGGGCCAATGGAATTTGTACGCGCGCGTACGATGTTGCTGGGGCAAGCAATCTAAAAATTCTGCTTCGCTCGGCTTCTGTGAGACACTAGAAGTTCTTTAAATATTGAACACGAAAGAGCCGTTTTCTTCGTGTGGTATGCATCTTTTCGTCGTGGCTACCACGGACGAGGGTCACTCTGAAAGGTGACGAAGCAACTGCATTGCAATGGCATCACAAACCATTTAGACCTTTAACCTTCAAAAGGTAAAATCGTATGAAACCACTGATTTGAGTTAGTATCTTGGTACTTAAAGTTCTCTATGTATTCTTTTAATTACTTTTTGTAATGAGGCTCACTCTTGTGATAGGGAACCCTCAGAGCTGAAATATTGACGCTATTACTACTTTTGATTGAGCTGATCACGAAAACATTTTCCATTTATTGTGCTAGTAGATTTTGTGGACTTGTGCTTTTTTATTGCTAATCATGAAAATTCTCGAAGACGAGTGGGAAAGACAATGAAAATTGCTTAAGGATGAAATTGATTCTACCCCTTTCTATTTCAGACAAAAATTAGACGCTACGCTATTGTATCAAATAATTGCTTCTCTCAGATTTTTATATGTGCTTTGACAGGAGGGAATGGAAATCAAACTCGACGAGAAATTGCTTAAGCTGCGAGAAGAGAATATTATGAGGCAATTAACGTTCTTCATAGCTGTCAAGATTATGTTATTTTTTTCTGTTTGCCGATGGCGCAGCAGCTGTATGTAAGATCACATGTACCACAAGTTTGAAGAAAGAAGTTAATCTTATATTATTAGGTAAGACGATTGCTAAGTTATAAGTTATATGAATGCGTTCTTGGTTCCATGGACTACAGAGAAAACCTACTTAACAATTGCGATAAGTCTGTT